ATTCCCCAGCCAGCATGGCTGGCTGGGGAATTCTGGGAGTTGAAGTCCACACATCTTCGAGCTGCCACGGTTGAGAAACACAGCTTTATGGTATTAATCAGAATTCTACCATAGAGAACTATCACGTAGACCAGTGCTCTAAACCTCAGCCACTTTAAGATGTGTGGCCTTCAACTCCCAGCTGAGGAAATCTGGGAGTTGAAGTCCATGCATGCTGGCTGGGGGACTCTGGGAGTTGAAGTCCACACATCTTCGAGCTGCCACGGTTGAGAAAAACAGCTTTATGGGATTAATTAGAATTCTACCATAGAGAACTATCACGTAGACCAGTGCTCTAAACCTCAGCCACTTTAAGATGTGTGGCCTTCAACTCCCAGCTGAGGAAATCTGGGAGTTGAAGTCCATGCATGCTGGCTGGGGGACTCTGGGAGTTGAAGTCCACCCATCTCCAAGCAGCCAAGGTTGAGAAACACCGATGTCATGAGTGCGCAATCGAGACAAACTCTCCAATACAATCCCCCGCCCTGGGAATATGCTGTGCCTTTGCACACAGTGGTTGGGCTCGTGCAACACGCTTACCCCTAACCCCGGGTGAAGAAGCCACAGTTCTTGGGCCTATAGAACAAGCCCAAGTGCCAGAAGAAACACTGAGCCATGCACGATCTAAGTACGTTGCATGAACCCAGCAGGATCGGACCCGGTGGAGATTATTCAGGAAAGGAATCTTGGAGTCAGCTCAACAGGAATGTTATCCTAGTGCAGAGCTGTCTACAGGGGAGGTCATAAAAGAGGTCATAAAAGTCATGTCTACAGAGGTCATAAAAGTCAAAATGGCAGCTACAACTGCATGAGCCAGCTGGAGACTTTGGGCTAGTCGCTCTTTCTCAACCCAACCCACCTCACAGGGTTGTTGTTGTGGGGAAAATAGGAGGCAGGACTATTCGGTATATTCGCCACCTTGACTTATATATACAAAAGGGGATTTAAAAAATTTCATAATAAATGATAATCATTGAAGCTCCAATGTGTCTGCAACAACGCCTTTAAAAAGGAGCCAGTCTTCATGCAGTCAAGGCCACCATTTTGACTTTTCTGACTCTCCTGCCAGTGCTCTTGAGTGGAGGAAGACTGTTGCTCTCCTCCCTCTTTGTGATTTTCCTAAACTCCAGGTGTGTGAGCAGAATCCATCCAGGGGTTGGACTAGGTGACCCTTGTGATCCCTTCCCATGGACAATGTATGATTCTGTGGCTAAACCCAAAGGAATCAAGAGATGGGGCTTTGCGCAGTAGCCTGGTTCACCCCGCATATCATGTGGCTAATTTAGTTCAGATTTAGTTATGGTGGCTTGTTCACCACAAGATACGCTTAGCATGTTGTAAGAATACAGATAAAACCCGGGACTTTATGTTTTTTGGACTGCAAACAGAACGATCACCCTCTGGGGAAGGAAAGAAGCCCCTCATTTCCAGAAGTTTAACGCATCTGTTCTAGCAGTTACTTTCATGACCCCCAACTCTCGTACCCGGGAGGTAGCATTGCTGCATTTATCTAAAAGGGAACCCTTTTTCACGTTTAAGCTTATGTTTGCCCAGAGCACATAAATATGTTCTGCTTTGCAAAGACGGTCTTAAATGCTTCAGCGTCTTCCTTTTGCAAACTCGTGGCAAGCCCCCAAAAAACCAGCCGAGCTCAACCAGGTCCCCTGTAGACCCCCAGAGGGCCAACTGGCGATGGTGGGAACTGGAGGGCAACACCTGTGGACGGGAGAAGAGAAACAGCAGGGGCAGAAGCTTCTTCGATGTTTCCTACATTTATTTTATTAAAATAGACAGTGGCGGAATCTCACAGAGAACAAGAACCCGGGGCTGCTTCGCCCCAAAGGGAGGTTTTGGGGGATGCTGGCTACCAGTCATGCGGCCATTCCTTAAGCTGGGCACCGGGGCTGCTTGGAGGGCAAACTTGCAACGTCCTGATGGGTTCGGGGATGGACAGGAGAGGACGATGCAAGCTGGCTGGCCCTGGGAGACCCTAACTGGCCCAAGGTGACTGGAGCACCCAGGCAAGACAGTGAGAGAGAAAGAGGGGCCAGGAGCCACCATCGGTGGTACCCAGAACTTGAGAAAAAAGGAATTTTGGAATCTGACATGGAGAAAGAAGAAAGGGGTAAGTCCCCTTTCCAGTGCCAAGGGAGAACATCTCAGGGCCATGATTTTTGTTTGGCCAATGAGGATATGAATTTGTTTGGCCTTCCAGATCAGTGTTTCTCAACCTTGGCCACTTGAAGATGGGTGGACTTCAACTCCCAGAATTACCCCTAACCCCGGGTGGCTGGGGAATTCTGGAAGTTGAAGTCCACCCATCTTCAAGTGGCCAAGGTTGAGAAACACTGTTCTAGATTATCTTGTTTTGGAGCATTGCCAAAGGAAACACCATTTGCCATTTTTCATTTCTAAACTGGGATTAGTTTCCTAGAAATCCACTATGGGCCCCACGCGAAGCTGGTTTTCTTTTCAGCTGAGCGTTTTCTCTTTCCTTGGAAGTTTCTGGTGGCCACCTGAGTAGATCACACACAGGGCTTCTTCCTTCTCTCCCTTGTTTTGTACTGTAATTTAATCCGTATAGGCATGCACTGATGTACATCATCGCTTATAAACACATCTAGAAAGATGAATGGCCTCTCAGTGTAGAGCAATCCATCCTCTCTAGGGCCACCTAGAGCTCCATGTTCCAGCCATGGGAGGTTCTGATGTTTCTGGAAATCCAGAACATTCTGCTTTCCTGCTAGAATGCACCAGTCCAGATGTTCCAGAGGTGGTTCGTCTTTTTCTGGAAGTGAAACTAGTCAGAAGCCATCTAAATCTGGAAAATTACAAGCCCACCAGGAATGATGCGCTCTAGGAAAAGCAACCAGGAATTCCAAAGAACATCAGAAGGTTCCAGGTCCAGAATTCAGAGTTTTGTCCATCTGCACACTGAGTTTCCTATAAGTCTTCTCTCCACCAACTCTACACAAATCCTAACAATCCATGATCAGATCAGTCAACGGAGAAGTTTCCTGGAGGAAAGAAAACTTGAAAATAGACTAGATGTCCTACTGGATCATATATAAGTTCAGATATATGTGTAGTCCTACCTTCCACCAGCACATGACTGCAGGCATGCTCCATCATTCAAAGGAAGTGGCACCTTTGGCATTTTGAAGGCAGGTTATGGGTCCACAATGGCAGCCAGAAGAACTTGGCTGTTTCCAAAGTGTTTGCTGTGCTGCGCAAGGCCAGTCATGCCACCGTATTTAGAAGAAGGCAAACTATGGGGTTTAGTTGCTCAGGCACTTCCTGCCACACCCAACTTTACTTTTCCTTTTATTTTCTAAGCAAGGGACACTCTCCAAAGAAACTGGGTCACAGTCAACCACCTTTCCGCCACCTCCTCCAATCCTTATGGGCCCACTCATTTCATTCTTGGAAATAGGGATGATATCAGGCAATGCTGCTTGGGGGCGCCGCATGCCAACCTCCCCTGATTGGTTTCCACGAAAGAATATTTAAAATAAAGAGGCAAATGAGGGAGGGAGGATGTTCATTGCCAAAAGATGCGCCCTTGGGATTCACTGGGGTCCTCCACAATTTCCAGACTGCGTGTGCCAACCAGGGGGGTCCACAGAGGAGGGCCAGAAAAGTCCAGGTGGCAGTTGTGACCTGACGGTCAAAGAGGCAGGGTTTTGACTTTGTGGTTGCAACCGCCATCTTGACTGTGTTGACCCTCCCATGGGTACTCCTGGGGCCAAGGCTGTTGGCAAAAACGGAGCACCGAATGAACACTAGTAAGCATCCCCGCCCCCGCCCCCAACGATGCCATCACTCAGTCACTGAATCTGCTTCTGAAGAGGAGAAGGTGATTACTGAGAAAATCATCCCGGGGTGGCCTTGTAATGCCCCCCTCCCAGCCACGTTAGGATGACGCATTCAGCCCGCATTAGTTCTCGTAAACGTGGGTCTGCATGGCACGCTGTCGCTCTGCCGAAAACTCAACCCAGGGCTGAGTCTGCATAGCGCGCTTAGCAAAAATGCAGTGGGCTAGTTCGGGATTCAGCGCACGGGGGAAGCAGATGGCCCTTTTGGAACTGACCAGCGTCCTTCTGCTCGCTTCAGCTGAAAGGAAGGGCCAGGCCTGGAGGGCCAGGTGGCGGCTCCCCGGGACCAGACGTTCTCCCCGACAGGCCGTGCGGGAGAGCCCCCCTCAGCACCTGTGTCCAGCCCTTCCCAAATTCTGGGGAAATCCACGGAAGTGAACAGAAGCCCCCAAAACTAAACCTTGTAGAGGAAAATTTTAATCGTTTTCTTCAAGTCATGAAAGGTCTGATGTTTGAGGATTACAGTTCAGTAAATGAGGAGCAGGACAATCTTTTACTCTTTAGAAAAAAACCCACCACACTGCTGGAAATCCCTCTCCCTGAGCCAAGAAGACATGCCAAGACGGGGCCCAGATCCCCCCAACCCCTTCCTCTCCTTCCTCCCTCCTGTTCCCGGATGCTGCCATCAGGAAAATCCGGGAGTTTTGTCAGCCAGCCACATCCCTTGCTCTCTCTTTTGTCTTCACCCCCCTTCCCTTCGTCAGATATAAAAAGAGTTTTTGGTTGGTTGGTGTTTCTCCAAAAGACGTGTGCTTCACAAGAAAGACGGAGGGGGTCCGTCTACAGTTAAGTGCAGGCCAAGGAGGCAGATGGATCAGGAAAAAACAGGCAGGAACCTGAGCGTCCTAAATGACATTTTCAAACAGCTGCATGGAGCTCATGATGTTTTCATCCTGCAGAAGCAAGAGAGGTCAACAGAGAAAGAAACACAAGGAAACACCGGAGGTTCAGAGGAAGGAAGATCTCTTGGCTCTGGGCTTTAGTAGAGCAATTTCCTAGGTGTTGAGGGACAGTTGGGTGTCGTGGTGAAGGCACCAGGCTAGAAACTGGGAGGCTGTGAGTTGTAGTCCTCCCTTAGGCACAAAGCCAGCTGGGTGACCTTCAGCCAGTCCTTCTCTCTCAGTCCTAGGAAGCAGGTCAGGGCAAAGCCCTTCTGAAATCTTGCCAAGAAAACTGCAGGGACTAGTCCAGGTGGTCACCAGGAGTCAACACTGACTTGTAAGCACACACACACAGACACACAAGAAATAGGCAAGGGAAGAAGCATGCTGTAGACCCATGTTTCTCAACCTTGGGAACTCTAAGATGTGTGGACTTCAACTCCCAGAATTCCCC